TACTAATGAAGCTGAAGATTTTACTATTTATTTCCAGTAGAATTTATTCATCTGTGAAGTATTTGGTCACATCCTTTGTTCATTTCTCTACTGAGGTTTTCAAATGTGCATCTTACCAGTTTATTTGAATTCTAGACAATATTTAAGTCATTTTTGCTTAAAATACTTTTCTCAGAATGTTATTTGCCAGAGTATCAATTTTATATAGATTCTAATCTATTGTTTCCGGGTTTTTTTCCCTATTCCTTAAAAGCTTACAATTTTAAACTGCCTTCAAAGCTTTTTTTTATTTCTTCCATTTTATTTTTTCAGCTTATTATTTTAATCTAGGTGATATTCTGGTATATGGTAAGGTTTTGCTTCTTGAATTTTTTAACTGAAGTATAACTGACTTAGTAATTTATATTTAGGATGAGAAAGCCCTGTAGCAGGAACATGCAAGTTCATGAAACAAGATTGAAGCTTTCTACATTCAAGTTTGAAAACACAATTAAAAAAAAAAGCTTCTCCCAAATTTTCAGTGTATCTATACAATACGATTACCATTATAGAAGTGAATTTTTAAACTGGTGTTTGCCAAGCTGACCTTCAACTTGATATGCTACTTTTTTTAAAAAAAAATGGTGTTTTGCTATATGTGGAAATAAAATTATTTTTAAAAATTGACTGTGAAGCTTAAAAAAAGAGCATACAGATGGCAACCATAAACCACTGCCATGAAGAGACAGCAGTTCAAAAATTTTTAATTATCTTTATGAACTTGAACACTTGCATCTTTGCCTGCAGTTACTGGGTTATCAAATAATATGGAGAGTTCAAAGTTCAAACTTCCACATCACAGAAGGGCTCTGAGCTTCACATGGAGCCCTGCACAGAAGCCCCAAGAACCCACTGATGTCACTGTCACTCAGTGTGTGAAGGTCTCCAACTCTAACAAAGGACAGAGCTCTCTGGCATGAATGAGAAGCAGCAAGGGCCTCTATCTTATCTGATCTGTTAAAACAGTCACCTGAGTATCCCATTGTAATCTAACAGGAGTATTTTTTAATAATTTTTTCTTCTTCTATCGAGTGCATTTTTAAGAAAAATGTGATGGTACTCTTAGGGTAGACAGCATAGTATTCACATAGCGGATATAAATAGACACAGGATTTCTCAAACCAATAGGTGAACATTTGCTCCACTTTTTCCAAGCTGCAAGCCATGGAAAGGAAAGCCTGGTGACAATGTGAGAAGGTTTTCCTCAGTAATGTGAGCCATGAGTTCAACAAGGCATAAACTTCTGCTGCATGGCTGACTTGCATGGGACAGAGCAAAGACTTAGGCACTATTCCAGGATGGGAAGTACAGACTGGCTAACCAGAGACACACCCAATAAGATTACCTTCAAATACATCTTCTTACTTCATAAAGATAATAAAGAATGTTTTCATTTGCATAGTTTCAAGATTGCTATCGTTAAGATGAGTAACTGTGAAATTACTAACTCATATCACTAGCTGGATATGCCCCAACTAAATGTGTTCAGAGAAGAGAAACAATTCTGCAGAACCACAGAGCAAGAGAGGATTGGGGATATTCATGTAGTGGGAAACCTCATATTCTTAAAAATACCTATTAAGGTGGGCCTCACGAGCACTCGTAAACGCTGAAGACAGGCAACAGATGAGTGAGTTGTAACAAGGAGCTGACACCACCTTACAGACTCTTGTCAATCCTTTTACAAATTAGAAAAACCTCCAGATTAGATTTTGCTCCCATTTCCCTGCTTAATAAAGCCAAGAGAGATCATGTGTGTAAGGTACACAATAAAATAATTACTAGAACAGACTTTAACCAGGCAAGTATTCTTTAGCTCTCAACTCATTGGATCCCACAATCAGTCAAACTAAATGATACTAAAATGATTTACAGAAGATACTAATTTCAATAGTCAATCAGATTAAAAGGCAATAACTACCTTCATTACTCAGATGTATATCTTATTGGAAACCTCAGTGCAGAGTGTATGCCCAATTTAAACTCTCTGAAATGTCACTACTCGGCCAGTTTGGGGAAAGCTATAATGAGCTCATTTCCTCCAACTCTTGACTTTGATACGCCAGAATGCCAGTTCAAAGAGGATAAACTACTACTAAAGCACAAAAGACTGCTGAAATTACTAGATAAAATAAGAAATTTCTTTAACGGTGATAATGAAGTAGGATGACTAGAGATTTTTAAAAGGCAACAAGCAGATCCTATATTTCACCAGAATTAGTAATTTTTTTGGCAGTGAACCCCACAGAAGTCAGCCTTTTCCTGTAAGAAAATGAATTCAGATTTTTTTAAAATATCCTAATTATATTTCAGCTAAAACTTGAGCTCCCTGATAGGTAAAATGTTCTCAAAGACAGACTGCTCACTATATTCACCATTAATTTAAAAGCCAGGGCTTACAATATCAGGCTTCCAAACAGCAGAATTTGCTTTCCTCTTAGACATTTTAATGACTCAGGCAGACGTGGCCGAACAATGATGTTTAACCATTTTGTAACCAACCAGCTTGGCTTTTCCTCAGTTATAAATTTATACAGGATATAGTCACCTGGACTTTTCTTCCAACAGTACATGTTTTAGATTAAAATGACTTAATTAACCAGTGACTATAAATAATATGACTCGCCATTAAGAGAAAGTTTTTTTAATACAAACATCATGCAGTATTTTGGGGTTCCATCGTAAACTACAATTAGTGGTCACCATGGCTTAATATTTACTTGCACTACTTTTGGGAAACACTCATTTACAGAATACTGGGTACTAAATAGATTGATTAGACTTACCTGGTAATTCACAAAACCCCAATTGGCGTTATTTAGTTAGGAAACAATCTAAGAATGAGCTTTTGGAAGCTGTGAATTAAAATGACTTTTTTTTAAACCAATATATCTCTAAATGTGCATCCAAATGTCTGCTGTGACCATTAAGGTAGCAATTAGATGTTTAATCTAACAGTACTGCCTTTTTTTTTTTTATCATCTCTGAATATCCTCACCGGTAACAATATGCTCGTCCATTATTCAGGTTGGATATAGTTCTTGGAAATTACCTCTAATTAGCCACACCCTAGGCTGGTGCAAAAACTGCATTTTGAATAAAACACTAAGTGTCACTATCAATTATGTTTAATGACCTACTTATGGAGGCGAGGCCCCCAAAAGGGGATCCCTAACAATGTTTTGAGTAATAGTTCATCACTGAAGTATATAACCACAAAGTGATTTCTTTGAAAAGATCACCTGTTTGGGTTGGATGCTCTCATATGTCTAAAAACAACTCTGTGCTTCATAGGCACACTTCCTACATAAACTCACATAAACTCCAATCCTGACTTTTGGAGCTTACAATTGACATCAAAGTTATTTTGCTGAAAACTTCTAGTCTGTACTCACAGCTAAGGCTGATTTCAGATCACAAGCATCTAACAGTCATTTTTTTTTCCCTCCATCTTCTGAACACGTTAGAACATATAAATCATAGTTTGCAAAACAAGATAAAGTAATTTCCTGTAGTGACCAATTGAGCTGACCACATGGCCTACTAAGATTAAACACTATTTGGCAACAAATTCTGAATGTGGCATCAGAAAAGAAAAAGAAAAATCCCTTAAACTTCACTTGTGGCCCTTATGCATATGCCTGCCCTACTACATACTAGGCAGAATCACTTGAAGTTGACATTTCTGTAGGTCACGGATGGTTGAGTATCAACACTTCACATGGTTCAACTTAATAATACTGCTCTAAGACAAAGAAGTTTGAACACCTACCAACAGAGCTGAAGAGATTCAGGCTATTATCTTCATGGTCATCTTCCTAGCAACAATTTGTATTTATGCAAAGTTTGATAGTTGAAAAAACCTTAATATATGTATTATGGAACTTTGCAACCTGGTGAATTAGGCAGAGCAGATACCCTGATCTCCACTTTACAGATTAGAAAATAAGGCTCAGATGTTAAGTCACTTGCTCAACTGCCCAAAAGTAATGGAGCAAGGAATCAAACCTAAGCCCTCTGACTCTTGATCTTTGCTGCAAACAACCTTCCTATGAAAGGATAATCAAAATCATCAAAGTATGAGTACACACTTGCTTATGGACAGATTCCATAAATATTAATGTGATAAGTGTCCAGATTAGAATACTTCAGAGCTTTCAAAAATGTGGGTGCATACTCAAGTACATTCTTGTAATTTATTTGCTCAAGTCTGCAGTCTGCAACCTCACCCAGGACTTCATCCTTACATTCCACAGGCCCTCCTGCCCCTCGCCCCCAAAGGTCACCACCTGGCTACCCGTACTCTGCATCCCCTAGGCAACAAAGCATTACACTAAACATACACTGTAGGCTTCACACCATCAGTCATGGCACCAGCCTATTTCATTTATGATAACCAAAGCCTGTGATGTGATTCTCAATAATATATTAATTGAATAAATAGCTGGCCCATGACTCAAATCGATTGTGGTAATGGAATGATCCCACTGAAAGTTTAAAAGAAAAATTTGCAACAGCCTAAATTTGTTCTACAGTCATCATTATTTATTGATGAAGGAAAAAATTTGATATTAACTTCTAAACCAGACAATTCTATACATTAGAATATTCACAGTAAGTGATAGCTCGTGCCGTGTGATAAGGCTTTCCCCTCAAACACCCGCCCCTACTGGCCCTTCAAGCAATAATAGTATCTTTCTTATTTACTAATTTAAAATAATATATATTTCACCAATGCTATCTTTAGATACAGACACTGATAACCCCCTCCTACTGTCTGGTGCTGTAGGGGTGTCAGTTTGCAGGGATCAAATCTCACTTGTTACCGAGAAAACATATCTGTGACTATGGTGTCCATGGAGGCAGAAATGAAGACGCCTCATAACATGCACGTGTGCACACATGCACACACCCCCACACACTTCCCTCCTGAATTATTTTAAAATGTTTTAAATACTTACTCACACAACAGAACACCATTCTCTAGAGAGGCTCGAAAATCCTTCGTTTCAAAATTCTTCTGTGTTACTGCCTGAAAGACAGATTTGGGTATTAATTTTCTCCTAATGAGGGGTAATACACAAGTCAAATTCAGCGTGAGATTAATTAATATGCACCTAATGTCACACTTCAAGAATGTGCATATTATCACCAAAAGTTGTTCCATATAGGAAATTCTATGTGCGGTTCTGTGTTACAAAGAGAAAGGTTAACCATCTTAGTATGAACAAATATAAACAAAAAAACCCAAAAACGAGTGTTTTCTATAATGTAACCATTTTATGGTTGATAAAAGTTAGAAGCTTAATTTCTAGCAAATTTTCTATTAAAAAAACCCACTATGGGCAATCTACTCTACCAAGAGTAAATAAAACCAGATTAAGATATAAACTTGAAATACCAACTATATACCACATCATTAATTTCAACTCCATCCTTAAATTCCTCAAGTTTCATTACAAAGCTAAATAGCAAAGGACATGCCTCTCCTTAAAGGTATTCATGAAATGGCCCTGATTTGTGTAAAGAGCTATTTACTGAGATATTCTAGGGAGAAAACTATTAAATCCTGACATAGACAAAAGACAGAGAGGGAAGATGGGACATATTTTAACCAGACAATTCCCCACTTAAGGCACTTACATATGAACAGAACACCTACAGGTACCACCACCAAGGTTCTTACTGAAATGCTAGAAAAGTGTCTACGGATTCTGTCTTTCGAGGTGGAGTGGTTGGGAGGAAAGGGGATTCCATAGGGAAAATAGTAGCAGAGAAAAATGGAGGCCCTAGTGGGGAAAAGCTGCTCCAAGAACACCCTAGGACAGGGTCCCCAGCCAAGGGTGCGGCAGGTGCTTCGTGACAACACCAGTCCTAAGGATGGACCCACCACCTGTGAGCAGAGTCCTTGCTCCACCTGCCACTGCAGGAAGACATTCGATCTTGGAAACACAATTGGGAAATCACTAATCTTAAATCCTTGGTGAGCTTCAGAGCTCCTGTTGTCCCTGCTCACTGCTGCAAGCTCTGTGGTCCACCAAGAGTCCCTATACGTGCTCTGCTTCTTTCCCCAGTTCCCAGCAGTGCCACACCTTCACATAATAATGGTTAACTGACAAAACAATGGGCATTTTTCAAGTTAGTTTCTCATAAGCTGGTTCTATAAATATGGACAGGAGCTGGGTCAGGAGGGGATACACTCAAATACACAAAGAAGTAACATTCTTTCCTACACAGGGCATTAATCTACAAAAGGGCTACATCGCTGCATGAATTAAACATTTGCTAAGTGTCTCCATTACATGTACTTACCTGGATACTGGATGGAAATCTAAAAAAAAAAAAAAATGCAAGGCGCTCACAGCCACATAAGCAAAACATACACAAATGGAATGGCACATTCCTTCGAGGATAACGTTGAGTGGCCCGTGGATTATCCCAGGGAACAAGGGCAGCACAAACTCTTCAATTTTCCCCAAATAGATGCAAGACAAACTCAAGGTAAGCGCTGATTCCCAACTAGTGAAAATAGAGTAACATCTCATTTATCTGAGAACGCCTATCCAAGGCTGAAAAAGCATGAAAAAGTCCCAGGGCCATTCAAAGCAGCTGTCGAGTCCATTCTCTCTAGTCATGGGAAAGCCCCTCAGAGCCACCAACACTTAATTATCCACCACAGAAACAGTCTGGAGATTATGTTCCCAAATCAAGGTAGAACAGAAGAAGCGAGTTAGAAGAATGAAGGATTGTGCCTTACAGACATACGGGGACCAGTGAAGAGTGACAGTCAACAGCATGGGATGGGCCTTCCAGAGGGCAGTGTAGTAAGCAATGAAATGGAAAGAGAAAGGACTCAAGTCAGACCAAAGCATATTCAAATCCCACTTTCCTTATCCAATAGCTGTGTTATCTTAAGCAAGTTAAATAACCTCCATGAACCTCAGACTACTCATCTGAAATAGAGTAAATATCACCTACTTATTAGCCTATAATGTGCAATCCAGCGTCTCAGGGTGGCTCACAGCAGTATATGCTTGACCTCTTTACATGCATTGACCTCCCAGTAACACCCTGACAACACACTGCAATAATTAATTCTCAAAGGAAATCCTCTGCACCACATAGACAAAGCTGAGTTAGACTCAGAATACTAATTAAAAGTAGAAATAATGGAATATACAGAGACATTCAGAAAACCCAACTAACCAGAATGGTTCATTTCTCCAAAAAGACTACAAAAAGGCAAAAATCCCAGTATGCAGCAGATTTCAGACTACCTCCTTCCACATGTCAAAATATTACTGTACTCTTACTTTAATAAAGTATATATGTACAAAATATTGATGTTCATATACACTTACCAAAATCTAAATAATAAGACCAGAGTTCATTTATACAGTACTTACAAAGACAGAATGTAAAAACTAAGCTGATTCTTAAATAATAGTCTACATTTGAGGACATGGGACTCTGGCATCTCTGTACACTATTGAAGATAATATAAAATGACACCAGCATTTGAGAAGGCAATTATTGTGATATGCGTCTGAAGTCTTCAACACACTTACTCTTGGGCACACAATGTGCAGATCTAAGAATTTATACCAAGGCAACAGGACAAGAACACAGAGACATCAATAGAAGAACTGCTCCACAGCATTATGTATAATGGCCACAACTATAAACATCCCAAATGCCCAACAATAAGAAATTGGATACATTATGATATAACTATAAAACAGAAAACTACATCAAATTTAAGTTCATGTCATAAAAGTAGATTTATCACTTGTAAAGAACACTTAATATATTAATTATAAAGCAATTTACAAAACAGTACATGGAATATGATCCCAATTCCTATAACTCTATAAGGATGCATTATATAAATAAATATAGGATATATTAACAGTAATTATTTCTAAATGGTAGAATTAAAGCTCATTTTAATTTTTTTTTTTTTGCTTAGGTATATTCTGTAACAACCATAGGTGTTTCTCGTACAACAGATACTAATTAATTTATATTTTCAAAGAAACATTCAAAACAGGTCAGAATCCATCAGATTTGGGTCAATTTCCTGTATTGCCTACATTTAAAGGATAAAAGAAGAAAAAGACATCAGTTTCCAGGTAGGTGTTTTTTTCTCATTATCTATGAAATACACACAGTCCTTAAGTTTAATAATCCTTACTGTTCCCCTTTCACTAGTAAGAAAGTTGAGGCTCAGGGAGTTTAACTTTGTAGAAAGTTCCAGAACCATCCAGATGCAACAGATACCAAAAACTTACAGCATTTCACAAGTACTCAATAAGAGTACTCTCAATTGCATCAGATAGCGTTTCTAAACTTAAAAAAAAATGAAGCTGTCTTCCATCTGCATTTAGATTTTTTTTAAATCTTAATTAGTGTATTTTACCATGGACGATGCCATGAATTCAAAAATAATCCTCCACTGTTAAGGGTATAAAAGGTAACTCAGTAAATTTAAAAAATGTTCAATTAACTTTTTCTCAGTTTTCCTGATTAAAAGAGATTTGTGTCTTAACACATAATGAATGTGTGTGTGTGAGTGTGAGAGAGAGAGAGAATGGCACTCTAAATATTAATAAAATGAAAACTCTGTAAATGATTTAAGTGTTTCTCTTGACATTTTCATGAGCATTACAAAATGCTCATCCTGTATATACCAGCTACTTCAATAACGAAAAACATCTGATCATTGTAAACTAAAATTTTTAATTAGCAGTTTATATATCCATATAAATACAAACTCACCTAAGAACCCACCTAAGAAATTTAAACACACAAAAAGCTTTTCCACGAGTTTTAAACGAAGAAGAAAGCATAAATTCATAGCAGGGGTTTTCGGTCTACAGCAGCTACCTGGGGCATGTACCTTAAGAAACACACAGCAGGGCACCTCCCACGATCAGGTGAGGCCAGGGCCGTGAATCTCCACTCTGCCATTTCCTACCTGTAACCTTGGACAGGGTGCCGAACGTCTTCCTTTTCTCACAGGTTCGATGGAGATACAAAGTACATATCTCCCGGGGCTGCACAGAGAATTAAATGGGATCCTGAATATGAAGCCCTCAGCATAGCCTGATGGAGGAAAAGCCTTCACAAATGTTAGCTCCTACAATTAGCTGTTACTATCCATCTGTAGAATGAATATTATAAGTTTCATCCTAGCAAAGAGAAAGTCCCTGTTGCCAGAAGTAACACCCTTTACTTAAAAGGAAGAAACTGAGTTACCACACTATAAAACTCCACTCGACTACCTTCTATATCCTGGAAACGATTTAAAAAAAAAACAATCATAATAGAGATCTATAAAGGACCTCAAAATACAGTGAAGGCAGTTTGTTTCAAAAAATGAAATCATGCTTTAAAATGTGAGCCCATCTGTATTTTAAGAATCTAGTATGCTAAAAGAAATTCCAGAATTTCTAAAGAGCTATTGTTTGTCTAATAGCTCTAATCTAACAATTACTCACTGCATTCTTCAATTATTTTGAGCCACACTCATTAGCAAGCTATTTGAGGTGTGATACATTTTACGTAATGAGGCTGTGAGTCACAGGAACTAAACAGAGACCACGTGTTTCCCACCAAGTTATCAACTGTCAACACAAACAGGAGTAATCACTATGGAGTCAAACAGCCACACCTTGCCTTTTACAAAAACTTGTTCTCTTCCCTCTTCCTTGTCCCTTTCCATAGTTTCCTAACGCAGTTAAATTAAATCATTTCCACCTGAAATATCCTAAGACCTACATCAAATTTCATCTGGGGTTTAATCCTGGACCCATCTCACTCTACACGCTTCTGATAAGTACTGTTTCATCCCCTCACTTTTTTTTAATGCCTAGGGTGGGGTGTAATTTAGGTTTATTTATTTATATATATATATATTTTTTTTTTTTTAAACAGAGGTCTTGGGAATTGAATCCAAGCATGCACTCTATCACTGAGCTGTACCCTTCCCCGTCTATCCCCTAATTTTTAACAGAAAAGAAGTATTTGCCA